GCATCACGGGAACGAAAAAAAAAACACCTTTTCTACACGCAGCCATGACGGGACGGTGCTTTTTGGTGGGATTTCACCCCCCGGCATGACGTGAGCAGCCTCTGAAAAAGCTGGACAAAAAGAGAAGAGAAACCAAAGAACTCCTCTGCTAGGAGCCTGGAGAACCCCCTGGAGCTGAGGGACAGACAGGCAGCCTGGTTTGAAATGGGCTCAAGGAGAGGGAAGCTCCCTGGAACGTGGTTTGCAAGAAAAATGCTGGGTTAAGACTTTTCTGCCACACGCCTGCTCTTCCTGTCAGCTACCCCGGGGCTGAGCCAGCCTGGAGGGGGCTCTTCCTTCCTCCCGCTAAATATAGGCCAGTGGCTTCTGATTGGCCTGTGGCAGAGATCTGCTGAGCAGAAAGGCTAGTCTGGCCTGGCACTTGCCCGCAGTGTGAACGGAGGCTGCTGCCCCTTAAAGGGGACAGGACGAGGTGGCTGCCTTCACCACCGTGTTCGCTTCCGCTCTGGGGGGGCTGCTGCTGCAGAGGAATCTCCATCCCACCCCAAAGGAAGAAGGAGCTCCCAAGCCTGGAGCGTGGTGGGATCCATACAGCAGGGCAGGGGGGGGCTCCATACAGCCGCCACCCCAGCCTTGGAGAGCACCAGCACCAAGATTTACATGCAGCCTGGAGAGCTACCAGGATCCACGCTCACAGCCTCCCTGGGTACTGGCAGGACCCACAGCGCATGGGGGCTCGGGCCGAGCCTCAACGACCGTGCGCTGTTCAGCCCCACTCCTTAGGGAGGCCAGAAGAGGCATTTCCTTCCCCACCAGCCACGCTCCTGCGATCCAAGAGCCAGGATGCCCAGTCCCTCTGGGCCCCCTCCTGGAAGGGCTTCCCCGGGTGTACATGGAGAGGAAGCATGGCCTATTGAGTAAATAAAATAAATTATAAATTAATGGAGATATCCTATCTCCTAGAACTGGAAGGGACCTTGAAAGGTCATCGAGTCCAGCCCCCTGCCTTCACTAGCAGGACCAAGTACTGATTTTGCCCCAGATCCCTAAGTGGCCCCCTCAAGGATTGAACTCACAACCCTGGGTTTAGCAGGCCAATGCTTAAACCACTGAGCTATCCCTCCTCCACCCCAAGAAAGCACTGACCTGGGAGTCAGGACACCTGGGTTCTATTCCCAGCTCTGCTGTGACCTTGGTCTAACTTCCCTGCTCTGTGACTCAGTTTCCCTTCAACCCCTAGTCTGTTTAGACAGAGCTCTTCAGGGCAGGGACTCTGATCCACCCTTGATCTCAGCTGGGGCCTCTAGGTGCATCGTAGACTGCACTCTCTGCTCTTGGCTGTGGACGGGCTCCTCTTCTGACACTCCTTTCCACCCCCCTGCTTTCCGTGGGGACAGGCTCAGCGCTAAGGGGGAGCGGCTCATAGGGGACTTTGGAAGGGGCTGGAGGTGGGGAAGAGCACAGTGTCAGCAGGAGGTGGGGGTGAGGTTTTAAAGGAACAGGCCACCCCCTTTCCACCCACCCATCGTGCCCAAGCCTCTTGATCAATAATAAAGCACATTTCACCCGCAAGTCTTTAAGCGCTTCACAAAAGCATCACAACCCTCATTTTAGAGGTGGGGAAACTGAGGCACAAGAGGCCACAGGGACTTGACCCAGGACACCCAGCTCTGGCTGCAGGCAGAAACGGAGGCCCAAGCCCTGGCACATCCATTCCCAGATACATACAGCCCACCCTGCTAACACGGAACCAACCAGCATTTGTTACAGTCCCAGCTACAGGGCCCCAGCTGAGATCGGGGTCTGCCTTGTGCTGGGTGCTGCCCAGACACAGGCCCTGCTCCAAAGAGCCTAGACAAGACAGTGTGTCAGAGGGGAAACCGAGGCAGGGAGTGGGGACAGGACTCACGCAAGGTCAGAGAACAGGGGAGGGGCAGAGCTCAGAACAGAACCCAGGTCTTCACCCACTAGGCCATGCTGCCTCTGCTGGCTGGTTGGTTCAGGACAGACTTAAATGGCATGATCCTCTCCGCCTCAAACAGAGAATTTCCTAGCCCTGGCAGGAAACTCCCCACCTCTCTTACATGATGTGGCCTTCCTAGAAACCAGAGCCACGGAGAGAGCCAGGCAGCCCACGGTTTCACTTGCAAGTTTGGGCACAGCCCTCCCAAGAGCTGGGAGTTTCTTTCCTGGTTAGAAAGGAGATGGAGCCTATGAAATGAGAAAGAGAAAAAAAAACAAAAACCACCAAACCAAAAAACAACCCCCACTGGCCATCCAGGAAACACCTTGCAAACAAATTCACACCAGGCTGCTGAGCTGGCAAGACCCAGCTCGCTCAGTTCACCGCCAGACGAAGCGCGGCAGGGCTGGCCGTGAGCCCACCATATCGCCAGCCGCTGCCTCTCCCGGGTTTGTCTGCCACTCTTCAGTCATGATCGGGAGGCGGGGCTGCTCCATAGCAAAATCTTGTCCCTTCGCCCCGGGTTTCATGTTGGGTTTTTGTTTTGTTTTTTTAAATGTGTGTGTGTGTGTGTGTGTGTACGTGTGTGTGTGTGTGTGTACGTGTGTGTGTGTGTGTGTGTGTGTGTGTGTGTGTACACCGACTTTTTGGT